ATTCCAGTCCACTACACCGTGGTGTAGCGGACTGGAACACAGGCTAGTGTTTTATCAGATATTATAAACTCACTTCTCGTGACATAATATGGCTGACATGATTTGCCGCAAGGTATATGAATTATTAATGAGTATTTTAAGTTATTTTGAAACGTTCTTTATATTTGTTATACTTTTAAATTATACCGCCAAATGTATTTGTGTAATTTCCTTATCACCTGACTTATAGATTATAGAGTGCACCAGAAACCAAATACCTCAGGAATACAATTTCATCCCGGGGGTGGGGAATTTTGCCCAGGAATTTTCTCCCGAGGGAGTGGCATTTGACATTTTTTTTTGTAAAAATGTCAAATCCCCACCCCTTGCCCGACCCCCCCTCCCTCGGGGTTAACATTGATAGGTGCATTACCACGAGGATTTAGGACCAGTGGCGTCATTCTGGCGTCAGCAAACGTGAAATTCCTTGAAAATCCGCCATGTTTTTGGCGACACTTGTTTGACTGAAGAGAGATAGGAGCACCTCGTATAAAGTTACACTGTAACAACGTTGAGATTTGGAAGAAAATGTTTACAAAAAAATTACAGATACACTGCAACGTGTATTAATAGTTCAATAATGTATAGCAACTTACTACCAATGGTCTGTGATTGTGTTTTCGACGATAAAGCGTTATATTCATAGTTCGATGAAGCAACACTTTTAATATAGACAATAAAAATTTTTGTTGCCATTGTCCGTCAATCGTTTAAGTGAAGATGATAAAGGCCTACCCCTAATGCTATGATCCTTCAAAATAATATTTGAGCAGTGTGGGTGGTCAATGACCCATTTAGTGGTATAACCCATGGAATAAGCTGGTACTTTTCATGTACTGTACACACCACATGTTCCAGTTGACAGTAAAAAATATAGATTTTTATAGCTGTACGAATTGCACAGGCAGCACAGCCCCATAATACCAACTCTTGTGTAACCTAAATGCTATTCTTTAGGATGGTTGTTTTAGCCAAACTTCATGAAATTGTTAAAGAATGGATAAAACAACTAAGCTTAGAAAAGGTGGGTGTATTGTGCAGTTTTCTCTTAGTTTGAGGACTTGTGTGATATAGTCTACAAATTCATGACAATGATTGACACATTGTTTCTTGTAGAATGTTCGTAAAAATTTGATAGACCAAGTCGGAGGGAAAATCTTCACGTTTGGTTCATTCAGACTTGGGTGTTCACACACAGGGTAATAATATATGGGGATTTTCTTGTAAACCCCTTTTCCATTACCCACCCCACCTAGACCATGTTAGACATTGACCATATATGCAAATGTATGTTTCTGCAGGTAAAAGCATGGTTTCTCATGCAATTTTGAAAAATCCATCTGCATTTCTCTGGTATTTTCTTACTACCTACCGGTATACCCTGCCACAGATCGTTCGAATTTTGAAAAGAGCATATAAGTGAGCTTAGAATTGCATCAATTGAAGGACAAGTAACAAGTTGTGTTATGAAATTTACAGATGCGAACATTAATGTACTGTTAGTGACCCCACGTCATATCACTAGAGCAGATTTCTTCAGCAGTTTTTATGAAATCCTGGAAGAAAATGAAGAAGTTAAAGAACTACGGGTAACAATTATGGATATAATTCTGAGAATATTATTAGCTATATGCCAAGTATTTTATTAGCTATATGCAATTCTGCCCCTTGAATGTTTAGGCAATCAAGGAGGCATTTGTTCCTGTGATCAAAATGGAGTATTGTGGAATCAAAGTATGTTATATCAAGGTTTTTGGCATCTCATTTGATATAACTGAATGTAGATATGATTTTTTTGTAAATGGAATTTTTGAACAAAAAAGTTTATATACAATTTTTTACACCAAACCGGGAACAACTTAAAAATGGTTTATAAATTTTTGTTCAAATATTCTGTTTACAAAAAGGCTTATTTTATATCAATCGGTTTCTGTCCTATAAAGTATTTTTGTGTTTTCTCAGATGTGTCCATTTTTGTGATTTAGATGTATTTGTCATTTGCAAGACTAGCACTGGCTCAAGTACCGGATAATCTTGACTTGCTTGATGAAAGCCTGCTTAAACATTTGGATCCAAAATGTGTCAAAAGTTTAAGTAGTAAGTAAAATTTCCTGAGGGTTAGATTCAACACCTTAAAAATTACCCTACCTTTATTTAGAGACATAATGATGTTGATTGGACTTTGTTTAAAGTGTTCGGAATGATCATGACTAACTAATTATAATATCTTCCATGTCGTCCATTCTGCCACTTTGTGTGAAAAGTTTAAATGGTAAAATTTCCCAGTGTTAAATTCAGCATCTCAAAAATTAGTAAATTACTCTACCTCTATTTAGAGTACTGCATGATGATTGGGTTTTGTGTTAACCCATTGAGTGGTAGTGCTCTGCCCTTGACAAGTAAAATTGTCTGGCATTAGACAGAGTAATATAATAAAGTAGGGCTCATTAGATCTTAAATGTAATTGTTGATGTAAGTTATGCACGATATTGACTGATTATCAACGTGCAAATTAAATGAGTTTAAATTTCTTTTCAGGTTGCAGAGTCACAGATGAAATCCTGAGACTAGTCCCCAACCACAAATCATTCAAATTAACCCTTCGAGTTATCAAACTATGGGCAAAAAGTAATTCTTTACAGTGTGAAGCATTTAATTTGTTATTTATGGATCTTGTTCAGAGTTTAAATTATTATTTTCCTTGTTCTTAGAGCATGGCATATATTCGAATGTTCTTGGGTTTCTTGGTGGTGTCTCGTGGGCAATGTTGGTTGCAAGAACTTGTCAACTTTATCCAAATGCAGTACCTTCAACTCTTGTGGAAAAATTCTTCTTAGTATTTTCTAAATGGTCAGTTGAACTGCTTTGCTTTATTTTGCATGTGTGTCATGATTTTATGAAATATTTGTTGACTTTACATGACTGAGGGTTATTTTCTCTCATTCATAGGAAATGATGACATGAAATATAAAATACTCGTTGAGTTAAACAAAATTGTGAAGGTTTTCTATATCTTTTCAGGAAATGGCCAAATCCAGTTTTGTTGAACGAATTAGCAGATGAAAACAAACTTGGGTTTCCTGCTTGGAATCCCAGAGTAAGCAATTTTATGTGTTAGGCGGACTCACTGATCAACTGACTGTCTGATTGCCTGCATGTCTGTATAAGCAGTTGTTGAACCGACTCGCTGACTAACTGTTTGATTGATTGATTCGCCAATTGACTCAATGTTTGACAGATTCAGTGACTTACTAATCAGTTGGGTGGCTAATGAACCAACTGGCAAATTGATTGACCAAACAGAACAGCTGGGTGCACACATCCTCCAGACTGGTGATAACTTAAATATCAAATTGGAAGCACTGTAGAAGATTTAACTAGTAGGACTACCAGAAATATATTTGTATATTCATGTTGTTGAATCTTGTACAATGCTCACAATTTGAATCCTTGCTACCTAACATGCCTACCAACCATTCAAGATTGTATAAAAGGTTCTGTAAAGAACACTACGAGAACAAACTAGCTAGGTCAACTGAACTAAACCATTCAAAGATTATATTAGGAATTTTAATTTTTTAGGTGTAGGTTTAATATTGGAAACAAGTGATAACTGTATTTGTTAAACCTTGTTAAATAAATGTTACATTTCACTGACTAAGAGGTTCATTGTAATTTCTAGATAACAGCCACAGATGCATATCACTTGATGCCGATCATCACTCCAGCATATCCACAACAGAACTCCACATACAATGTTTCCGGTTCCACAAGGAAGATAATGCAAGATGCATTTGAAGAAGGTGCAACACTAAAGCCTGCACAGACGAGCAAGTTTTCTTTGACAAGTTTTGTTGCTTGTGTTCACAGAATGTTGTTAAACATTTATCTCGCGTCAAGACCACCTTTTGTTTGCCAAAACCAGAAGTATATCTTCTACACTTGTCAAGTTTTCCTTGACAGCTGTACAGAAGAACAAATTTTCCTTGTCCAAAAGCTGATCTGATTATCTTTGAAAAACAAGGCTCCTTCGCAAGGGAAAATTGCCATACACACGAGCAAATACAACTTATAAACTTGCTTGTCTGTATAGGGCTTAAATTTATATAGTTCTTTGTATAAAACTACTAGTAGAATTAAAAATGAACCCACTTTGAAAAATTGTAGTTACCTCCACTAAGGCTCTACTATAATGATTATTGGCCTCACATCTATGTACAGTTTACAGCTCGCCCTGGTTTTTACGTTTCTATGTATTTCTCTTCATGTAGGTTTTAAAACAGTGCAGAAAATTTACCTTGGGAAAGCTGATTGGCATGCACTCTTCAGTCCACCTAATTTCTTCCAGAAATACAAGTATGTTGTTATATGTGCAGTACAGAGAAGATCTGTTTTGAGAATGGTTTTATGTTCTTTGTGTACAATTATGCAAATTGCCTCCCTAACAGAGTTCAAGCAGAACAGTACAGTCTATTTATTTATGGATTTCTTTATTTTTGGTGGAGCAGTTATCAGAGCAAATGTCTTTCATGCATAAGATAATGTCAGTGCTCTGCTGAAAGTCGTGGGTTTTCTTCAGGTGCTTTGGTTTTCTCCAGGGTCTTAGCTAGAGGGCCGTGTTGGCCGTGTTATTGCGGCCAAAAAGGGGAAAACACGGCCAGATAAAATTAACACGGTTTCATTATTTATGTAAGGCCATGTAGGTTCATAAAATAACAGACAGAATTTCTTCCTATTCACTGTACGTTGTAAGAAAGTTTGTAAAATCTATGGTTATTGTTGAAATTGGCGAAAGTGATCTGCATGCGATGTTTTAATGTTTTGGTGGATAATGGGAACTGTATGGTGTTAAATGGTTTTAAATACCCCCAAGAGTTGCTGAAAAAAACTTAATATTTTAATGTCAGTGCGTAATATGAGCGTATACTCGCCTTGTATTTGGTTGCAAAGCATAGAACAACCACAGGTATTGTCTGTTGTTGGCGAGCATAACTAGAACCATGATCAATGTGCACACCCTGGTCATTTAGAAACACGCCCAAGATCTACAGTAAAATCCTAGCTAAGACCCTGCTTTCCTCCCACAGCGAAAGTTGACAGGGTGGCTTAGGATAAACATTGTTATGAAAGTAATATCACAATTTTTGTAAAATATAGACCCATTGCACATGACGTCACAGTGACGGTGACGATGCATCTGGAGGACAAATTAGCAATCTGTGCATAATATAACTTTTGTAAACAAAGCAAATGTTGTAAAAGTTTATAATAATTTTGTATTAAAATGGTTAATTTTTGCGCTGTATGGAGGACACTCTTAAGGATTTGTGATGTCAGTGCAATGGGTCTATAAGATAGCTAAGGCTAGTTATGATTAGATAAGATAAGCGTAATACTTGATGTAAAGCGCATTTAAATTTGCGCTATAGAAATCATACTCTTTTTTAATCTTTTTTTAGACATTACATAGTTCTCAGTGCTATATCTGCCAATGAGGAAGATCATATAAAATGGTATCTTACCTTCAGTTTATTTTTATTTTTTTTATTAAATTTTTTGCCACAAGAACATAGTACATAAAAGACAGACACAGTAACTATTTACATATGTTTATGAATTTATATTGTACACTTTGATCCATTAAGTTGCATTGCACCCCACTTTATTATTTTACTCTAACACTAGATTAAATTTACTCATCAAAGGGAGAGTGCTGGCATTCAGTGAGTTAAATAAAGTATCAGATGACTGATGCATGTTCACTTTGCACATATCTCACAATTCAGGTTGGCAATTGGCAAATGCCAACCTGGTTGCTGACGTATTGTCATGTCAGGATGGCAATGAGCTTGCATGAGTTTTCAAATGTAGAGCAAACAGGAAAATACTAAAACTGTCTGTACCAGTGTAGTTAGTACCAATGTGAAAATGCTGTGCTGAGTGAAAGTATATGATAAAGTTATCTAAGGGCGCTTTCCATTAACACGGTCAGACCGGTCAGAACGGTCAAAATGTTGAATGAAACACAAAACATTTGGGCGTCGGACCTATCTGACCGGAAAATCTAGATAACATTAGAGTGAGGTCCATTTTCGCTAGATATTTGAGAAACATGGACCAGATCTTTCCATTGATACAGAGAAAAGAATTTGGGTCTGACCGGTCAGGCCATTAAATGGAAAGCGCCCTAAGAGTTACTTCAATAGAGTTTCAGAGTTTTTAATATTACAGCATATGCGCATTTTGTTAAAAAATAAAAGTTTGCTGACCTATCTTCGTGCAAGGTTGTCAAACTGCCTACCTATTGTTTGCTAATTTCAAGACCTGTTTGCGTATGTTTTTAGGGTTGGTTTGGTTGAATCTAAAGTAAGACTGCTGGTCGGTCAACTGGAAAACAAACCATATATTGAACTTGCTCACGTTAATCCAAACCACTACCCACCTCTAAGTCCTGACAAGGATTGTTGTATTAGCCGCTGGTTTATTGGATTATCGTTTGAAAAAGCAGGTACACTGCAAAAAACGCCTAGTCTGTGACATTGTTGTTGAAAACAGGCCTGAACAATATTTTGCTGCCCATATTGTTCCTCGTTGTTAACAATATTATTCAGCATTGTTCAGCCTGAACAATATTGTTAACAACCAGGAACAATATGGGCAGCAAAATATTGTTCAGACCTGTTTTCAACAACATTGTTACAGGCTAGGCGTTTTTTCCTGTGTAGTATTGTCTACTGGTATAATTGTACCTGAGCTATGTATAATAAATAATAGTAATATATCATCATGTGGAGTCTTACCAAATCTGCGACCCGGACGCAACTGAAAAACAGTTGACAATAATTGGAGACTAGTTTTACTTTACGTGGTGTTTCCACAAACAAAACTATTATAGTTTTACTTTGTTTACCAACAGACATCCATAGTTTTTACCCGTGAAGCGAAACTGTGATAATGTATCTTGAGCTCCCTAATAAATCATTAACATTTATGGTCTTACTGAGCACTGTCACACAGAATCAGAAAATTAGGATAGTATACTAGTATGGTGTTGTATTTTATGGCCCATAAGTCTTGCTGAAACTCATTAATTGACAGTCTGAAGTCACTCAGAAATGTTAAGGTTGCTATGAATAGTGATAATTATTATTAATGTTGCAATCTGAATATTTTGACGGTAAAAATGCAAACATGCAGTCACTGCTGTGTGCCTTTAGCAATGTGAATAAGTCGAATGTTAAACTACTTTAAGATCTTGAATTTTCTTGGCACTGATTTGATATTTGTTTGCAATCAGGAGGAATAACAACTTTTATGTGGCCATACGGCAGCATTTCCCTCTTGCGATAGTAACTTCTAGTTTATTTATTTTAGAAAATGCAACATTGGATCTTACTCACGACATTCAGTATTTCACAAACACTGGTGAGTCATGTCACCTCTCCATTTTCCTGGAGTTTCTATTCATATTATCAAACACTTGTGACAATATTTTATTTTTCTTTCTGTGTTGGTGTTGTGTACTCAGGTGAATATGATGTTTGTGATGTTACTCTGAGAATCATATTACTAGATTACATTGGTATCGAAGAAACTAGATTCTGTTCCGAAATATCACTTTATACTCGAACCGTCCTGACCGCGTAGCTCAGTTGGTAGAGCCTTGGGCTAGTATTCCAAAGGTCGTAGGTTCGATTCCCACCGTGGCCAGGCATATTTTTCAAGCTCGCCCGGTGTGGATATACACTCAGAGTAACATCACAAACTTAATATTTTATTTCTTAGTTCATAACCGTGCTGTCTCCATAGAGATATATAAAGAAGGAATGAAAACTGAAGTGAAACACGTTAGGAAGTGAGTATAACAGTGGTTGCGCCCTAGTTACAGTAATATATGTGCCTTTCACCTCTCCATCTAGGTTTCGATTCCTGCGACGTACAGTTGTCTGGCTGGAAAGCTGCGGGTTGAGGGGGATTCAACTATCTGAAAAAAGGTAAAACTTCGACGTTTCGAACATCGAAGTTTTCCTTATATTTTTCAGGTACTGTAGTTGAATCCTCAATCCACAGCTTTCTGATATTATTAAAGAGTTTGGCAAAACAAGGGCAACGGCAATATGGTCATCAACAATAGCATTAATCCTCAAGGACAAAGGCGAATGTAAATTACATGGTCTCAAGCGACGTTGTGCAATGCCGTAGTTGTTGAAACTAGTACGTGATTTGCACATTTTCACGATGCATGACTACGGCAACAGTTAATTCGTTCGATGTTATTTGAGGTGTTTTATTTGAATTCGCGGACCATTTTTACTTAAGGGTACGTTTGAAAGAAACAGGAATACTTAAAGAGGCAAATTAAGTGTAGTAACGTATACTTTGGCTCAAATACAACAATATAAGCAATTATATTTTCCCCGTTGCCGTTCTAGGTTGCCAAACTCTCTATTGTCTCCACGTACGCTGACACAAACCGTTCGACGGTTCGAGTTGTCTGCTTATCATTGTCTCAGTCACATGTGAAAGAGTGCTTCCAGTTTAACTCTTGTCTACCAAACATTGAAAATGTTCTGTGGGTATTCGTGTTTCCTCCTGTAGCAACACTAGACCAATACCAGATGACCCTTACTGGACATCTGTGGAGGACATTTTCGAATTGATAGAGCTATTCGGTATAAATACAGTTATTTCTTCTTTCCGCAGGAAACAATTATCTGATTATCTTCCGTCTACTGTTTTAAAATCCAAGAAGAAAAGTTCATTGTTACCAACCGTAAGTTACATGTACCTGGATTTGTTAACATTTATATCCGATGTATGGATGCATGACCGGATATGTTGAGGGGAGGTGCGCACCTCGCCTGAGGTTTTTTGCACCTCCCCTGAGATCGTTCTGCACCTCGCCTGAGATTTTTTATCAAGATAAGATTTTTTTCCTACGAAGATATATTACATTTCATCCCGAGATGATTAAAATATTACAAGTTTACAACGTACCAAAGATCATTTGGTGTTGGTGGTTTTTGATTTAGCCTGCTCGTAGCCTGAATTTGTTCAGAATTTCGGGCTGCAAGCAGGCTACTAAGGGTGGTTTATAGTTGTACTATCAACGTTTCTGTGATCACTGAGGAATTTTGCATAGATAAATTCAAAGTTTTGAAGGATTCGGATAAGAACTGCTTGAGGAAACTAACTCAGTGTGTTAAACACTCGGTCAGTTTCCTCAAACCTTTCTTACAAGTCCTTCAAAACTTTACGGCTCTGCAAAATTTCTACTGTGTTTACAGAAACGTTGATAGTGTAAACCAGCATGTAGTTGATTACACATTACTTTGGTTTAGAATTCATTGGAGAAAATTGACGAGGAAAGTGGTACGAGAAAGAAGAGTAAAGAGAATGTAAATAGTAGTGAAGAAAACTCAGAAGTAAACAGTGTACAGGAATCTACCGGTAATGTTATAATAGAGAGGTTCAGTTTGACTTCCGCTACAATTAAGGAACCATTAACCAATCAGGTGCGTTTGATATATCCGATTAACCAATCGTATGCGTACTTCAGTAAGCCAGTGAGAGGTAGTGTTAGTGGAAGTCAAATCTGAACCTCTCGAATTTCTAGGTAAATACAACCACTCTAGAAGATTGAAATGTGTACAGTGTCCTCATCTTGTACTTGGTCTTGGTGGTGTTGTTTCCGTCGCTGTTGTTAATGGTGATGGTTTCCTCGCTATTGTCGCTGTAGTTGTTCTTGTTAATGTTGTTGTTGCTGTAGTTGTTGTTCTTGTTAATAGTGTTGTTGCTGCTGCTGTTGTTGTTGCTGTTGTTGCTGTTTGCTTTTGTTGTTGTTGTTGTTGCTGCTGTTGTTGTTTGTTGCTGTTGTTTGTTGATGTTGCTGTTGTTTGTTGATGTTGCTGTTGTTTTTTGATGTTGTTGTTTGCGGTTGTTGTTTGTTGATGTTGCTGTTGTTTGTTGATGTTGTTGTTTGCGGTTGTTGTTGTTGTTGTTGTTGTTGTTGTTGCTGTTGTTTGTTGTTGTTTGTTGTTGTTGCTGTTGTTTGTTGTTGTTGTTGTTGCTGTTGTTGTTGTTTGCTGTTGTTGTTGTTGTTTGCTGTTGTTGTTGTTAAGTTGTGTATCACACATAAAGGAGTAAATTTTAAGAAATTCTGTAATACATTAGACAACGGATCAAACGTACAAGACATTGACGGGACGGATGATAACGAATCCTCGTGCCCCGAAGAGAAACCTTCAGAGGTAATTCTAGATATCATCTAAACGGCCATGTCACACAAGGCTTTCGTGCAGCTTGCAATGCATTTTTTTTTCAAATACGAAAATATTTCTGCAGGTTGCAGGCAATCGCCTCGTGTGACGCGGCCTTAAGATCAGACATGTGTTTTGAAAATATAATATACGTCGCTTCTGACCTCCTTTTGCAGGCTAAAGCGAATGGTTTATTAATTACTACTGGATTGAAAAGACGGAAGGAATCGACAACGGATGTAAGTGCAGACATATCCCAGTGGGATAAACTAGGGGATGATGATTTAAATACTAAAATAGTCCTGCAGATTTTTATTGTGATTTCAATATTTCTAGGAATCCGCTGGTGAAGAAGCTATCAAGAAAGTGAGGTCGTTAAAATCCGCAGAACAGGTCTAATGGCTTATTTAATATATGCAATACATGGTCAACCTTCAGTAAGTAAACGAATTCAGAACCGAATGAATGAATGAAATTCTGGACTGAGTTTTGGAATTACGCTGATATAAAAACCGTTCGATATATAAAATGTTCCGCTTTTACTTTTTTCCGGGTGGCCTGGTCACAAGGGTCCAAAACGAGACGAAGGTTTTCAAGACGGCGGGTAATTTTCAAGATCGTTAAAACGAGGAGAGAATCTAACTTATAACAATCCTAAAATCCAAACCAATCCTAACCCTAAACTGTCATATAAAGTTGGTCGCCAGGGGGGTGTACAGTAGTGATCGGTAGTCATCAGGGGGGTTGTTTCATGAATCATTAATTTAGTATAATCTATATATTCAGAACATATTCTTCACATGTTAATTTGTAGTGAATGGTATTTTTGCAGATTTAGTGATTATATTCATCACATATTCTGTAATTTATTGAAATGAATTATACATTATTATAGTCATTTTACCTGCCTAATGTTTTGTTGCTTGGTTGCACCAACAAATATGAAGCATTTAACATACTTTAATTATTAATGTAAGAATATTTCGTCAAAATGGCGACAATGGAGAGAAATGCAAACGACCGTATCAACGACGTTGCGGTTGACTGTAGTTTTCCCAACGTGTGCGGTGAAAATGGCAAATGCATAGTTGAGCTAGCCGCCACGCGAGGCGGTCAGCTCAATGTTTTTCGTGTGCAATTAATGCGTTGCGTATTTGTTTCGTGTATAAACTCGCACGCACAAGTACTGACGACACACGCTGACCTCTCATTAAGGAATGTTTGGAATTTGCTTGGAATTAAAATTAGCCCTCTTGCTTTAAGCATGCTGTGTGGTTCCTGTTGTCAACACGAGTATCACGAGTCATGCGAGCTTTTCAACAATCGACGTCTGGGTCGTGTATTATTAACTTGATCACAGGGGAAATCGTCCATTAACCTGGCTATCCATTCTCAAACGGAGAATCAAAAAGGTCTTTTGATTTCCCGCTGTATAATCAGTATTGTTCATCGTACAAAGACACCTACGCTTGGCTTGCCAAATATGCTGTAATTGCATGCGATTTTTTTGTGTTTGTCCGAACAAAGGTTCATTTCCCCCCGCCCCCCCCCCCGGGCTAAATAGTCTGCGATTCATTTATTCAAACGTGCATACAGATTCTTTGAAGTCTACACTTCGCTGAAGTTCATATGATGGTGAATGCTACAACCACAAGCAAACCAGAAGAGGCAGAGCGTTTGCCTTACTGGTCACATGTTGTTGCTGCTGCTGCTGTTGTTGTTGCTGTTGTTGCTGTTTGCTTTTGTTGTTGTTGTTGTTTGCTGCTGGTGTTGTTGTTGTTGTTGTTGTTGTTTGTTGTTGCTGCTGTTGTTGTTTGTTGCTGTTGTTTGTTGATGTTGCTGTTGTTTGTTGATGTTGCTGTTGTTTGTTGATGTTGTTGTTTGCGGTTGTTGTTTGTTGATGTTGCTGTTGTTTGTTGATGTTGCTGTTGTTTGTTGTTGTTGTTTGCTGCTGCTGTTGTTGTTGTTTGCTGCTGTTGTTGTTTGCTGTTGTTGGTTGTTGCTGTTGGTTGTTGCTGTTGTTGTTGTTGTTGTTGTTGTTGTTGTTGCTGTTGCTGTTGCTGTTGTTGTTGTTGTTTGCTGTTGTTGTTTGCTGTTGTTGTTTGATGTTGTTGTTTGCTGTTGTTGTTTGCTGTTGTTGTTTGCTGTTGCTGTTGCTGTTGCTGTTACTTGCTGTTGTTTGTTGTTGTTTGTTGTTGTTTGCTGTTGTTTGCTGTTGTTGTTGTTGTTAAGTTGTGTATCACACCTGATCACACATAAAGGAGTAAATTTTAAGAAATTCTGTAATACATTAGACAACGGATCAAACGTACAAGACCTTGACGGAACGGATGATAACGGATCCTCGTGTCCTGAAGAGAAACCTTCAGAGGTAATTCTAGATTTCATCTAAACGGCCATGTCACACGAGGCTAGCTTTCGTGCAGCTTGCAATGCATTTTTTTCTGAAAAAAATATATATTTCTGCAGGTTGCAGGTAATCGCCTCGTGTGACGCGGCCTTAAGATCAGACATGTGTTTTGAAAATATAATATACGTCGCTTCTGACCTCCTTTTGCAGGTCAAAGAAGAGAATGGTTTATTAATTACTACTGGGTTGAAAAGACGGAGGGAATCGACAACGGATGTAAGTGCAGAAATACATTCGTGGAATAAACTGGGGAATGGTTCTGCAGATTTTTATTGTGATTGCAATATTTCTAGGAATCCGCTGGCGAAGAAGCTATCAAAAAAAAGAGGTCGTTAAAATCCACAGAGCAGGTCGTATTTAATAAATGCAATACATTATTAAATTTTATGTAGTAGTCGAATTCATAGCTGAATGAATGAAATTTCGCATTTTCTACACGCCCAAAGTTTATCATCATAAAACCATCAATTGTGTCGTGGAATGGAGAAATAAGCGCTCTGCAGGATTCACCTGTCATTATGGCTAAGTTATAAAAATAAAATAAGTATAATTAAAGAGTTAATTTTGTTGTGTAGGTGGACGTAGAGTTGTCAGATGGCGTGGAAATGGAGAAACAAAACATGGATGTCAAGAAGGGTCCTATTAAATTGACGCTGAAATAGTGCTGGACATCTCATCCCTTGGATACGGTGGCCTTGGATACGGTGGCCATAGATATGGCGAAGTTTCATGACGTCATCTCACAAGGCGGTATGCAATCGTATGAAATGTGGTGTTGTCTTAGACAAATCGAGACGGGGGCCCAGTAAAAATATTTTGTATAAATGTATAGGAATTTGTTTTGTTCACTGTAGCCTGGTATATGAACCAGATGTGCTGGGTGTCTAGGTGACTCGTGGTTGAATGGTAGGTTGAAGCTTGCCTTGGGTAGGTAATGCTACAATGGTCAGGAAAGTTGTTAACCTTGATATAAGGAAAATCTATGCGTATTATGTTTCATTGCAACGGTATATCATTGTATCATCAGTATTACTGAAGCAATGGCTGGATGGAACGTTCTCGGTTGCTCTTGAAAATCGGTGGAATCTGTTGAATAGACTTCAGACAAGTATCTTTGCTGGGTACGCATGGTTAAGACGTATGATTTCTATTCACTTCCAACACAATACTCTATGTTCGTACACTATTCACGTCTACATTGCCGTGCAATAGACCTTTCCCCTTTTAAGTGAGATTTTGATCAAGACAAATCTGGGCAAAAATTTCATCACAGCTTGAAAGAGCATCACAAAATTAGTAATATTCCGAAGTTTCGTTGCAAAATGTTGTAAAATGCGGATAATATAGCCTTGCGAAGTTTGCCGTTTTTCAGTCATTTTGATTACAAATGGGAAATTGATAATCAGATGATCAAACTGATTATCAATTTCGCATTTGTAATCTAAATAACTGAAAAACGGCAAACTTTGCAAGGCTATATTATCCGCATCAGTTTACAACATTTCGCAACGAAACTTCGGAATATTACTAATTTTGTGATGCTTTTTCAAGCTGTGATGAAATTTTTGTCCAGATTTGTCTTGATCAAAATCTCACATAAAAGGGGAAAGGTCTATTGGTTTAGTTGTTGTGTTTTCATTCTTTGTATCTATTCTTCACATTTTGTTAAGCAAACCAGTTGTGTATATAGAGTAGATTGCATATTGCAGTACGAATTCAAAATGGTTTCGAAAACCTAAACTCACCACCTGAAAAAAAATAGTCTCATATATAAACTCTGCCTCTGAAATTCTGCCTTGCTTGTAGCAGTGTTCCAGCTCTCATTCAGACCTTTGTGGCTATATTCTTCTCCTTCGACTCGTTAAGTTATTCTGTCTGACGCTAGACGATAATGACCATATTTTCACAATGGTATTAAAAGGGAATGGACGAGAAAAAGGTTTTCAAGATCGCGGCTATTTTTAAAGCACTAAAGAATCAACAACCATGCACTCATATAACAATCCTAAACCTTACCCCAAACCTAACCCTAACATTAACCCTAAACTAAAGTGAGCTCTGAGTTTAAATTTTGAACTTTCTTGAAAACTTCTTTCTCGTCCATCCCTTTTAGCTATTACCTTATATACCATTAATAAAGTTGGTCGCCAGGGGAGTGTACAGTAGTGATCTTTAGTTATCAAGGGGGTTGTTTTCAGTGGACTAGTGCGTACATTAATTTAGTATAAACTATATATATACAGAACATATTGTTCACATGTTAATTTGTAGTGAATGGTATTTTTTGCAGGTTTAGTGACTATATTCATCACATATTGTGTATTTTATGGAAATATTTGGGGAAAAACAATAAAAATATTTTCAAAAACTTGTCTAAGTTTTATGTTATATAATTATGTTACCTGCCTATTGTTTTTGTAACTTAGTTGCGCAAACAAATATGAAGCATTTAACATATTGGCGTACTTGAATGAAAAGAATACTTGATATAATGCCTAGTGTATTTGATTCCTGAACAAATAAAGAGCATGTGTTTAGTGTATATTTTGTTTTAAAATAAAAACAGAACAAAGTGTATTTAATTATTTTTAAATTATATAATTGTCTTAATACTTGATTTTAATATATAAGCCGAATTAAGATGATTTGTGTCTGTACTGCTTGAGAAAGATTAAAAAAAAAATGTTTCGAACAAAAACCTGACGAAGAAGATTTCAGTCTATTTATAGGTAGTTCAAATATTGTTTAATTTATGGCCAATTATAGCTATAGGTCGAATTGCAGCGCAATTTATGCAAAAAGTTCAACTGCTCACGCCAGATCCTGGGCTCTAATCCATGAACACTAACGCGAATTCCTAGAATTTTTTCATCGTATCAATTTACAAGCCTTTGCACAGAGCGAGGGAAACTACGATATGCCACTCTGATGCCATGATGTCCACGTAAGTGTTAGTTACGGTTTTGCAACGGTTTGGTCGATCTAATGAGTAATGCAGGTTTTGACTTGTTTTTTATGATAATTTTAGAATCAATTCGACGCCGGCAAATAAACCTATTGGTGTAACATCGGCAATTAGCTCTGCTGGACCCAAACCGGAGGTAGTTTTAAAGGCAAAAGCTGTGTTTTTATAACAATGAAAGTTGTATGTTTGTTGGTTATGTAAATGGTGTAAATATTGGCTGTAATTTTGGCGCTAAGACGGCTAAGTCAAGTACATTGTTTTTTAGGATACAAAACAGACGGAGAACATTAAAAATGTTTTGAAGGAATATGGTGTGTTTGAGAGTGAGGAGGAGTTACAACACAGGTTTGTTGGACCCTTTAGTGAGGTTTAAAATGATTGTTATAGCCTGTTGTGTGGTATTTGTCAGATTCAGAGTTGCATGTTTATTCATTACAACAATACAGCGATTTTGATAGGAACTAGCGTGCCGACGCTGTTTGGCGACTTTACTTACGCAACTAGCGAAATCTAGATAAAATAGAGACTGATATGATACTCCTTTTTTTTAAAAAGAAAGTTAAATTTGTTAAATAGTCCAAAATCTGCGAACAGTCGCAGTCTAATACTATGCAATGTTGTTGTATCATTGACCTGTTACCAAGCAACTGTGCTTGACAGCTTACATGGGTGTTGTATTTCTTGGTCTTGCTTCTTGTGGAGAGCTATATTGCATTCAAAGATGTTTGAGGCAAAACTAGGATTATTCGTATTGAGTTATTGGACTCTCTGCCTCCGGTTTAAAATATTTATCTCACAAGCTTTAGACTGCCGGACTGCAATTTTCAACAGGTGTTTAACGGGTGTCCAACGAGTGGCAGTCAGAGCCGTACCCATGATTTTTTTAACCGGGGGGGGGGCAGTAAGGCCTATATGCCAAAAAAGTCCAAAATATCCAAAGAATAATTTTAAAATAATGACATTCTAAAAATCATAAATATAGTCTTCTCAACGGCCCTGGTTGGCAGTCGAAAGCTTGTGAAATAAATATATATCAGAAAATATCGTCCAGCAAGTCGATAGCAATACAGTATCACAGAATAGGGACTTGACAGTATATTTTGTACAAGAAACACTGGATCTGACTCGATGATTGTTGCTCACGCGTACCCAGTATGGCTGTTCAGGATGATTTGACTATGCAAGCCACTCTCGATCCAGCTCACTGACAATAGCAAAAATCACAATATATAACACTTTTGATGCTTTTAAATCTCAAATAATCACATAATGATTTATTTTAGCTTTTGATATCATATAAAGCAAAATAACATTTCGCGCAAGTTTACTTTTGTATATATATAGTGAGCATGCATATATTTGTGTACACGGCAGTCGATAGATGGAAATTCCGAAAACACCATTCAATTGTGCGTGAAATTCTGAATGAACAAGCCCCAGTTTGTTTTTCTCCTTAAGAAACCGGACGGAGATATTCGCCCTTCAATACATTAAAACGCGAGTTCCGGCGAGAATTATGGTCGCGCGTATATGGTGAGCACAGTTTTTGTGCACGGTGGATGGAAATTTTGCACAAACATTCTATTCTACTTTAAATCCTACATGTATATAACTCACCATAATTTCCCATTTTTTATTGAGAAACTGGGGGAAGATATTCGCCTACAACTACAAGGCTTCAATATCCCCAAAACGCGCTTTCTTATATACGTGAATATTTCTGGAAACACTTAAACACTTACGATGTTATGCTACTACAGAATGGTAGATGGGAAATTGGAGAATACCGTTGAATTCGCCGTAAAAATCTAAGCATGTTTTCATAGTAAAGCCCACGGGTCCCCCTACAATCATGGAAATTAATTCGTAGACAAAACAATTTCCCAAATGTCCCCCCTCCCCCCTATATACAATGTTGATGTGTGCATGAGTTCACTGCCAAAGGTCTATATGTTTAATATGATCAACGGGGAGGGGGGGAGGAGGGGATATTTTGGCTCCAACAATGCCAAATATGTATGCTTTCAATAAGAAGTCTACGTATATTATTTCCATGATTGTAGAAACAATCTCGTTCCCTTCGTTAGTAACTCCAGGAGAAGAGCCTTCGCTCGAAACGTCGAAATTCTCCTTATATTTTTCAGGTAGTTGCATCCCTAACATGTTCCAGTTGTAGTGTTATTGTATTAAATAATACAGATTTCTATACCTGTACGAATTGTGCAGCTCTATGCCTTTATAATATACAGGAGTATAACCTAAATGCTATTCTTTAGGATGGTTGTTTTAGCCAAACTTCATGAAATTGTTAAAGAATGGATAAAACAACAGAGCTTAGAAAAGGTTGGTGTATTGTGCAGTTTCCTCATGGTTTGAGGACTTGTGTGATATATTCCACAAATTCTTGACAATGATTGACATATTTTTTCTTGTAGGATATTCCTGAAAATTTGATAGACCAAGTCGGAGGGAAAATCTTCACATTTGGTTCATTCAGACTGGGTGTTCACACACAAGGTGGGGGGATCTTCCTGTAAACCTCTTCTCCATCCCCACCCAGACCATGTTAGACATTGACCATATAGTATTGCGTTCTATGCAAATGTATGTTTCTGTAGGTAAATTAAAAGCATGGTTTCTCATGCAATTTTGAAAAATCCATCTGCATTTCTTTGGTATTTTGTTACTATATATACC